GGTATATAAATACCTCAAAACCTCCCACACAACATGCATTAAAAAATACAGAGACACCACTTCTTACTCTAAATTTTCCCTCCTCTGCTCATTACTCTCCCATTATGCTAGTTTAAGGGTCCCTTGATCTTACAGGCAGGTGCGACAGAGAAATCAAACCAAATCTTTTTCAACCATGAAAGTCCAACATTCAAGTCCAAACATCTCAGTCCATTTGCAGCCGTGGAAAGCCCAAGATCCATTTTGATGTTTCAGTGACTCATCGGTACAAAATGCTATTTTCCTGACATGATTTTATTGGTTATCAGTTTAATGAGATTCCATGTAGTGAGCAAGCAGTTTATATGGAAATTGGTTTGATAAAAAGTATTGTTTCCATGATGAGGTGGTGGGTCTTAACCAGTTCCTCTTTCCCATGGATTTTCACTGCCTTGTGTCGTTAGAAATTCTATTTTTCTCATTACATTCTGCTTGATGAACATACTTTGCGTGCAGCCATGTCTGGCTTTCCAAATTTCTAGCGAATTCTCTCTCTGGACGTTAACACGAGCTAGCTAAATGGAATCCGAAACTGCTGCACAGCTGACTTAGCTGAGTTTACAGATGTTGGATTTGCTGGCCTATCAAGGTCATTAAACTCCGCTCATTAAACAAAACGTTCTGCAATCTTGCTTCTCGTTGATATTGAACTTCCCCACTCCATGCTTGTGCCCCATCTGACCAAGTTTGGGCTCCGACTTGCATTTACCTTTATGAGCAGAGGAACACTTTCTTGCTGAAAGTGATGTTCACGATGAGTTTTAAGGACTCATTATCTATGCTGTGCATAAATCTGCTATAACCTTGTTTACCATGCTGCCTACGAAAAAAAAAAAGGATCAGCTAGCTACATTGATCCCCTTTATTAATATGATTGCCTATAATGAGATTTTTTTTTGCTGCATATCATAACGTCGTCATAGATTTTTTTGTTGTTATAGTGAATATTATATGTTTGTAACGAAAATGTGATGGAATGATTAACCCTAATTTAGATAGTGAATATAAATAGACATTGTATTTTATATTTGGTTTCTAACTTCCCTTTCTTGACCTTCGGGCTCGAACCTTTCTTTTTAACCAACGGATATATTTGATTTATAAAGGACAAAAACAGGAGCCAAGCACAGCTACAAACCAAAATAAGAGGAAGGGAACTAGCCTACTACAAGATACAGGCAACTGTAGTTCTGGATTACTGCAACTAGAATGATAGATAAGAGTTTTCAATTGCACATGTACAGATCAATATGTTGCTTTCTACATCTGATATTCTTGTCCACTGACATCTTCCATCCATGCTCTATTTAGTGAGTCTGCAGATGTTGGACTTCTGGCCTATCCAGATCATTTTATTCCGCTCTTCACGCAAAAGGTTCTGCAATCTCACTTCTCGATTTATGTTGGACTTCTTAAATTGTGCCCATCTGAGCCAGTCAGTCTCCCAAGCTGTATTAATTTGTGAGCAGTAGAAAACATGATGATGACGTTAAAAAGATTATGATCACAGAGTTGAAGATCAGCAAATCAGGACTTACTGCTATGGCAGTGCCGAGCAGAGGTTAAACTATGGCCACACATTTGGATAAACAGCTCCAGAATTTGTGATGACAGTTATGACTCCGTGGACTGAAGATTCACATCCAGAATACAAGGCTTTACCATCAGGGTGGGTATTGAATGCATGGTAAGCTGGGGAGATGGCAGAGTATATGTCACAGGAGTATCTAGTATAATCTGCTATAACCTTGTCAGAAAGGAGGCCAACTTTGCTACATAATTTGAGGTCATGATGCCTTTCTGCAAAATGAACTGGATCAACCAACTTCTTTGAGTCCCTTGATGTATGTTAGTCTGTACGGATCAGAAGTCAATACTGCAGGTATATAGATAGTAGCTTTCAAATGAGAGACCTGTTAAGGCATACCAATAGAGCATAGAGGAAAAGCAGGCAAGGTCAATAGAACTAATATAGCAGTTAGCGATATAGTTCAAGATTTCAGAATACAGAAATTCAAGGCATTCTATTTGATCACGTTTTGCGTTCAACGAGAGCCCTAACAAAAAAACATCAACATGAATACAATTTCATGAAGGTTAGAACTGCTACAATGATTGCTACAATGGCTCACCAGAAAAAAAATATACAAAATTGAAATCCATTTGAACAATATTTATAGGTTTGAACAAATCTTATTGTAGAGGAAACTTCCTACACTTTGCTCCTTTCTTTTCCAACCAAAGCGCATCCTCTGCTTCCTGAGATCAGCAAGAACTCTTTACTTCAAAATTGGTTGGAGATAACTTAAGGAAAGCCTTTTTCCTTCCCAATAAAAATGGTAGTGCGACTGAGTGTGCTGACATGATAAAAAAAAAAGTGCCATACCTGAAGGCACTTGCATGCTCATCCAACCTTCATCATTCGTTCCGATTGTCCTTTGGGAACAGGTTTTTTCTTTTGCTTCTGATTTAGAAATCTATCATCTGAGACACTCAAGAGCTTATTGATGGACATCCCTTCCCCTATAGTCAACTTCTTTACTTCATACCTATGTTTAATCCTCTCATCAAGGTTGTAACCAAGAAATGCAGGAAAAGACAAAAGCTCTCTGACTTCACGACCCATTTCTTCAATCAAGAATTCCAACTTCTCCTCCAAAGCACCACATTTGTACTGTAGAATCTGAGGGTGCTTCTTGCTCATGGCAAGAATATCTGCATAAGTAAGACCATAGCTCAAGAATAGCCCAATCACATTTTGCAAATTCTCACAGCTTGTCCTTGATGCAGCTCCCATTGCCGCAGCCAATTCCTTGGTTCCATTTTCATACCCTATCTTCACCAAAACAACAAGTTTATGCACGAGGTTATCTTCAAAGGACAGGCCAAGAAATACAGGGGCTTTAGTCAAGAACTTGAATATCTCGTTAGAACTCAACCCACATTGCTTGAGAAACTCTATTCTCGGACGCAACTTCCTCTCCTTGCTGGCACTAACCACATTTGGAAACACAGAAAAAATCTTGAATATTTGTGGATCAGTTAGGCCAGCAAAAGATCTCAACAACTCAACATGGCCCCCCGTATGCTTCACACTGTAACTTAAAATGGCAGGGAGTTTATGCAACACAATCCCCGTGGCATCCTCATCTCCACCACTAATCTCCTTAAGCAACTCTACTCTAGGAATCAACTGAGTATCCAAATCAAAATTCAGTATCATTGGCCGCCTAACGATTATGTCAACCCCACCAAAACGACTCAAGTAAGTAACAGTCTTCTCAATTTCTTCAATAGACTTAAGGCTCAAAGCCTTGGTCAAATTCACATTGTTGAGAACATGAACAATCTTTTCTTGAGGAATTCCACGTTTAATCAACAGCTTAACCTTTTCATCAAAACCAGCCAAGAACCTTGGCACAGTGGCAATCAAAAGGCGCCTAAGTTGTGCTGGCTCGACCTTTCCTTCTAAATCATTAAGCACAAAATGTATCAATGGATCAATTTCCTTCGCTGTTAAAACATCCGGAGACTTATCAATCAAGTGATATAGTTCAACGCCTTTGATTCCAACAGACTCTAAGAGTAAAACATGGGCTCGTATGGAGTCAAAAGATGCAGACTTTAGAGCTGGGTTCTGCTCTAACAGCAACCCAGTTTCTTTCTCATTGAAACCCATTTCTGAAAAGAACGAATAAATCAAACCTGAAACAAAAAGAAACAATAAGCTACATGGAAATGTGTAACTAAGCATTATGCATAACATGTTTGACAAAAGGTCTCTGAGAGTGAAAACTGCTCACTAAATTCACTCTGCAAAATCGAAGGCAATTCCAGACAGCTGCTCTGGACTAGAAGGTGTTTAGTGAGTGGAAAACCCACAGGGGCTAAGAATCTTGAACCTTTAGCAAAGTTTGCTAGAGTCAACATTCCATGGGGAGAGAAAGTTGTGAATGGAGTAGCTAAAGATTTAAGCTTTATTGGTGATGGGTTTGTTACTTGCAAGAGAAAGGAAGAGTTTGAAGAAGAAAATAAAGGGTTTGCTGTTGCAAGCATGGTTGTTTTTGTTCAGGTATTCTCCCTCTCTAGATGAGCTTGCACCTATAGAAGTTGAAGGCTCTGTCGCTTTGACAGTGGACTCACTGTATCGCTGGTGTTCCAGCTTTCAAATAAAGGATATTGCGAGTGGTCTTTCCTCTTTGCGCTTATCTACTAGTACTAGCATGACTTGTAACCAGCAACATGATGTGTTGGCCTAAATGCTAGATTTTTTTTAAATGCGAACGCCGGTTTATCTACGCGAGCAAAACTGTGTTTCAAGCTAAAAAGTTGCGCTTTTTGACTCAAACATAGTTTGAAACACAGCAAACCCGCGAAGACAAACAATATTTTAACAAGTGCAACCTCCGTTTCACAATGGAACGGGGATTACACCGTTGGTGCTTTTCATAATGAAAGGTGCAATTTCATAAACAAACGGACCCCACTGGTACATTTGAACCAACTTACACAGTTCGGAAGCACTTTCAGACCATAGAAAATTATGGTTCAGATATGAAATAATACATCTATAAGAAATTATTTTCTCACAAATAGGTATTGGATTTGGATGAGAATACGAAAAGCAAATCTGCTCGCTACCCGAACTAGGGTAAGAGTTGAATGCTAAACTGTTAAGTTGAAAATCACGTTCACCCATTCATTGAGGAGGATTCAAGTCTCCCAAGTACCGCACCTTCTTCTAATCACAATTAGAGGACCTAGGATTATGGCAAGAGTAAATGACCATGAACAGCCGAACACCACTTGTCAGAAGGGACTTGTTTTTGGCATTTAAACAAGATAGTTGATGGTTGATCAACTATTACTCTGCTGATTCGGATATAATATTATAACCACAGTTGCATGCAGTTAAGCTTTCAATTGTTGGCAGTGATGAAAATGGGAAACCTGATCACTGGTAAAAGTTGAAAAGGGGGATTTCGAAGCTCATATTGATGAAAAGATGGAAGATATTCATTACAGTTCCCTCTAAATAAAATATATAATGTTAGAAGAAGGATGTTACGAATGCTACAAATACAATAACAATGATTACCGCACCATGTTTTAATCAATCAGGGGTTAGAATCATGTCAATGGGTTTGAGGTAGTCGGGAGATTGAACTTCGACAGCCATATTCTGTTACCTATCCTGAAGGGGAGTACAGTACCAAACTAAACCATTTACAGATCCAAAAGCTGCTACAGCCTGGAGGAAAGGATTGGTCTTGCTGACAACTTGCTTCTTTCCATTCAGGCGTTTAGAACAAATCAATCAAGTCTTGTTCTTACTTTTGAGTGTCCTTGAGACGGTTCTTGGTAATATTTCTCCCACTTTTGTTGCTTGTAGGGATAGCTTTTATAAAAATAACAGATGAACCACTCGTTTTAGATTTGCCAGCAGATCTGGATAAATGAATCCTGAAACACATTCAATAAGAGAAAATGCATCTCCCATGTAAATTCAAGCATCAAACAATACGAATATTTATGAGACACGGCACAAGGCTTGTCGGTATGCTTGCCTCTTTGTGGCAACTTGGCTATTATCCTCTGCCATTTCTACCTCTTGCCTTCTCTCATCCTCTGGTTTCTGAACCTACACAAGGAAGGATAAGTAAGCATAAACTCAATAGCACCTCTCTGGTCAAAACTTGAAGAATGCTCAATGCTTCCCCATTCATACCATCATATGGCATGCTGTTATAGTCAGCATTACCAGCAGAAGTACCAAACATCACCCAATAAAATGCATACAAGTAAAAAAGAAACAGGGAGGAAGAGAGATGGCACAGTTGGTCAACTCCTGCTTCCCATGCTTTGATTCAAGCGACTCATATGTGAAATGCTGATAATTTCACACTGCTAGACTTTCAGCATTTCACACTGCTAGACTCAACTCAATTCACGCCAAATGCCAAAAGCATAGCCATAACATGCTTCACAAGAGGTCAGCAAATAAACAGAGGAAATGGATACATCAATGGGGGTTTGCTACTGTGATCTTTGGCTTACAAACATCTTTCAGATAGGCATGCGTTGGATGCAGTTCTTAGAACACAAATTCAATCAAGCAGAAAGACAAAGGATACTTTAATCTGTTTGCTGTCAGTTTTTGGACAAGTAGATGTAGATTACTTAGTGGAGAATAATAAAGATGCAAGGCAGTGTAATCCTATTAAACTGCCGTGACCACTTCTTCCAGTAAAAAGAACCAAGAGATTGGCAAATATTTAAGTTCATAAAAGATTATAATTTATAAGACCCTAGGCATGTGTACTTCAAGTATGAGAAAGTCTTAACTGCAAAGAAATAGTCACTTAAAAACTGTGCCTCTGCATCTTTTGGAAAAGAACTATCAATAAACCCATGCATTTAACTAACATGATTGCTGCAACAGACAAAAATAGCCCCCGTTCCAAATTAACAAGGTAGCTAGTAAACAGACTATAAGGCGAGTAAAATATTTCAAGCAAACGAGTCTGCACCGCTAATTAGTTTAGGAATCGCATTCCCAAATATATATGAGTGATCTTAGAGCACTGTAACCTTTATGTTGTTCAAACACCAACTAACTAAGGAAAGTCGTGTAGATCTTAGGATTTGTTTACCATGTTCTGCCAGGAAAAGGCCCGAAAATGTGCACCTCATCGAGGTTCTCCAAAACATAAGCCCTTTAACTTCAGAAGATGAGAAAACTGACTAACATAAAATTTCTCCCTTGATATATTCGTTCAGAAACATAGAACAAGATTTCAAATCATAGAGGTTGCCAAGACAAAGCTAAACCTAAACCCAAGGAAGTCCCACTAATTCAGAGACTGTAAAACCTTCGCAGACATATAAGCATAAAATCAGCACACTTATTCTGGATGATGGAAATAAAGCCAACAACTTTATCGCATGAACATCAATTTTTTTAGCAGAAGCAGGTGCAACATTAGAATCAAGTATGAGCCAGGAGCATCAAGCCATAGGAAACCAAAAGTTACGATTTCACAGAGATCAAAGTCACACTCAATCATTTCAACTGCGCCAGCACAACATTATTTTGAAAAGATGAGGAACTTTCATTCTACGAGGAATGAGTATCTTGCTAGAACTGATGAAATAAAAGATGCTGGTTTGTGCATTAGTAGTAATCAGACTATTCAAGTTCGACGGGTGAATATTTTATGTAACATGAGAGGCTAAACTGTAGCAGAACTCGTAAGCTCTTATGTGATGTGTGATTGTGCATTTTATTCAATGATCCATTGCCAATGATAGGAATGAATTTTAATAGTCTGCCTGCTGTAATTTCAATGCAATCATCAACAGCAATTTACATAGATGCTAAATTCAACAATATAAATATATCTTACACATGCAATACCAAAAAAAACATTTCAAGAAAACAGAATGGAGCTCAAAATGTTGCACAAGTTAGAGACCTAGCATTATTAACTCACCACATTGTAACTCCATCTGAAACAAGTTATGCAGCAATGATAACATGAAACCCATATGTAAAATTTGCTTGCTCCACACCAACAAAACTAAAACAAAAACATAAACTCACATCATTGGCATCCTTGGACGATCCAGCCTCCAAGTTTGAAACTTTAGCTTTCTTCTTAGTACCATTTCCATTTGCAGATTCCGAGTCAATTACTTTCCTCTTCTTGCTCCCAGACACCCAAGATTTTCCCTTCTTATCCCTAACTTTCCACACGTTCTTCTTTCTAAACACCAACTTATCAAACTTCCACACTAGACAACTTGTATCAATTACGGTCACCTCACTTCTTGAATACCCTTTTAGCTCTTTATCACCACTAACACCAAAACCCTTCTCCTTCTCCTCAATATCCTCCTCCTCCTCCTCCTCCTCATCATCATCATCAACCCCACAATCCACATTATTAGAATTTTTATCAGAATTTAATGACCCTGTAGCAACAAGGACATTCTCGTCTTTTCTCACGCAATCTAAAGAATCATTACTACTGTTATTCCCAGAAACGAAACAGAACTTGGGCTTTGTTTGTTTTCTAGGAATCCTCTCCTTTTTCCTGGAATGTCTTGAACTTCCCTCAATCGGGTCACTGCAACCACCCATGTTAAAGAGGTCTGAAAGAACATTGTTCATTAAAAAGAACAAATCTTTATTGTCACTTGAAGAAATCTCCCTGGTTGTTGTTGTTGTGACTTTGTTTTGATCTGATTCAGAGTGAGTTGACTCAGAGTTTGAGTTGATGACAGAATTGGAAGCATCGGTTATCGGAGAACTAGATGGGTTTGGAACAGAAGGTTCATCATCATCATTGTTGTTGAAGCCTTTGTTGGACCAGAGCCGGTCTAACCAGTTTGAACCGGACTTGCTGGTTTTAACTGAGCACAGCATTGATTGATTGGCTTGATGGGATTTGCAGAGATTCTTGATCTGTAATGGTTTTGAAGGAAATAAGAGAGAAAGATGGAAGCTTTT